GCAACAGCGAAGGAGCATAGCTATGTCTACATTTTCCCCAGTCATCAGTCGCTTTAGCGAGGGGACGTACTCGTTTTGCGGTCAGTCTCGCTCTTGTGAAGTAAAACTCCTAGTTCTTATGTTTCATGTTTTGATTGACGAGTGAACACACCTCCGATCAACTGTACAGTACACCATTCGCCACAACTTCACTGCGTGGAGCCTGGGTGAATCCGCGAAATGCAATGACGAGAACCACCTAGAAGTTGGAATTGCTGCCATTGAGCTTAGTTCACTGGATGCAGTACGGTTCAGTAGGAGTTTTTACGATGCACAGCTTTCTGTCTAAATGATTGAATGGTTGGGTAGGGTTGTGACGAATGTGTAAGTCATCATCCCTAGGCTCGACAGGGTTCAGACACCCTACTTCAGAGACTTGGAGATATGTATTCCTTGGGCGTAAGGTCTGCTAGTTCCTCATTCCGCGCCTCTTCCGTCTCTTTTCGTCTGGCATACTACAGGCTTTATCTCCGTCATTCTACTTATTAGTTAAATCTGTAGACCGGTGTCTTAGCCGACATGCCGACTCTCAACGTCCAGACAAACGTACCTGGTGATAACGTTGTGATCAGCGATGTCATGAAGGATTTGAGTAAAGTCGTGGCTAGAGTTATCGGCAAGCCTGAAGCAGTAAGCATTTTTGTCACATCTAGTTCCGAAAATCGATACTTTTTAGGTACAAGACTGAGGCTCAATCCTGCGTTTTCCTGGCTTGCAGTATGTAATGATTTCCGTGAAAACGTCAATCCCAATGTGCTTTGCCGGAACGGAAGCTCCTGCAGCCTATGCCGAATTGATTTCAATCGGAGGGCTGGGTCCAGACACGAATAAGAAACTCAGTGCTGCCATTTCTGAGATTCTTGAGGCCAAGTTAACTGTTCCACTTAATCGCTTTTACATCAAGTTTTATGACGTGAAGGTATGTGGCTCAGCTTTCACTCTTGTTTCAGGATCACAAGGTTTCATGTCACTGTTCTTATTTGTGTGCCGTGCCTGTATTCAGGTCTCGGATAGGGGGCATTTATCAGAGTGCCATTGTCTACATGCTTGTCACCAGTAGAGGAATGCACATTCTATTGCAGCTTTGTGATAAACTCAGCTTCGTGCACTAATGGTTTTCCTATTTCTTGTGCAGAGATCAGACTTTGGTTGGAATGGCTCCACGTTTTGAAGCTTCCGTAGTCGTCACCAGTGCATTACTGTCAGAACACGCTCTTAACTCTTGACTTAGTAACTTAGGGTTTACCTAGGAAGCGTGAGTGTCGAGAGTGAGCATGGCAAGAGAATTGGGCAAAGAGCGGATTCACTAAGGAATGTTTACAAGATATAGGATAGGGGAGAGGATAGGGTACACCACCAGCAGTTGAACCTAATAACTAACTAATACACTAGCAAGCTGTAGGCAGTTAGGATATGCAATATAATTCAACAATTACTTGGGTCGCCCATCTCCCAGTTCAATGTTTGCCTCGGGCTTTTGTCATTTCAGCAATTACCGTATAGCGGTTTCACATGAGAACCTTCAACTCCTTAAAGAGCAAAACGCAACACACTGATAACTAAGATGGCTAACACAGTTTACTTGGAAGAAATCCAGACAGCAGCACATGACTTCATATGTTATGGATGACAATAACTACCAAGGTTTAGGAGGCGGCCACTTTCTTGAAGTGATTGCCACCTGTCAGTAGCTTGAAGGCGTAGAAGAGGGTCATAATGGCACTGTGATTTGTCACAACACGGACAACACAGCAAATACGGTAATGTTGAAAGATATGGCCTGGGGCGAGATCGTCAAACGGATTTGCGTACTTGCCAAAACATGGAATCATTCGCCTGCAGCGTTTTTAATCCCGCTTGCACGGGGAGAAGCACACGAACTCACAAGGAACAAACATACCTTAATCCAGCAACGACTCCGGCTGGGAAGATCTTCTGAGTGGTCATGTATCGGTCGCCAAGAACGTAAGTCAATGCGCCACCAATGGCTGCAAGTTACCAACAAGCATGAGCACGCGGCTTGTTACCATACCGTCACTAAGAAATGGCTTAGACTGAACGAGGAGAAACGAGGCATTCTGCACGGACCGAGTTGGGCGAAAATGGCTGCAAACGAGTTCTTCCGCTGCTTGAAAAGCTTGAGCTGGATTGCCGCTATTAAACAGAGAATCGCTCCTGACGCTACTCCGCCGATGAGCGACGCTGTGCTTCCCTTTCGTAAAAAGCCTATCAGCCCGCCAAGGATGAGCACCGAGCCATACGGAATGGTGAAACAAAAGTCGTGCATGTTGAAAGGCGGGGAACTAAGGAACTACGGAGGGAAATGTGGTGACAATAAGGAACTCAAAACGGAGACGACAGGGATAGCTTTTAGGAAAGAACTAGGGAGAAGCTTGACCAAGATCGTGGAATGGAGGCTCCAATTTCTGCATTCTGGCTTTGCTGGTCGGTGTCTGAGGGCGTGGTTAGTTTGCGCAAAAACAACACCTTCGGATAGTTACCAAAGAATGTAACTGACTTCTGGACACGATCGAGCTGAAACAACCGCTGATTGTAGGCGTCAAAACGTCATTCGCACGACTCTTGCACGTGCGACACTGTGTCTAGCAGTGCCTGATCGAGGACCAGAGCACCCAGGTGTTCTCACGAAGATAAGGAAGATTTTCGCTCAAAGGCTGCGAATGTCGCAATGCTTGTGCATTGCGTGGTGGCCTGCTCAAGGCCCAAATTGCAGAGCACGCGGGGCAAGCTTACTAAGGGTGCGTTCTTAGCCTGTGTCAAGCAGGCTGACATGAAGCTGTGAAGGGTTTGGATTTGATTGATGATGACGTGGAACGATCGGAGCTGTCGATAGCCTTGTGTCAGGAAGCTTGACACAGGATAAGAACGCAGTTGATGAGAGTGGTGTTTTGAGTGTTGTTTGGCTGGTAATTGTGGTTACGTGAAGTGCGATTCAATTTGATTGGCCGACAGTTTTTTTGTCGAATAAGAGAGAAGGAAACACCAAGAATATTGTGAGTGCAATTTGGGACTCTAGAACCAAATCGAGTTGCTCCCAGGGGTTTGCTTAGTCAGCGAAACCCCTAAGGGTGTAGCGAGAAGCTGGGCGAAACTGAACAGCCCAACTTCAACAAGGTCAACCTTCTTCTCCCGCCACCCAAAGGGCAACCTTAGTAAGGTTGAACAATTTGGGCCTTGAGCTTTAATTCTAGCTGTGCACGATAGCTTAGCTCTGATTTCGCGCTAAGTGTTTGTTACACGAAAAAAATGATATGTCACGTTGCTCAACCTGCGACCCTGGTCTGGCGGGGTTGTGTCCCGCGTACTATTCTTTTACGGGAAATGTACTGAAAAGGACCCGCAATTGCTGCTGTTTAGATCCGCAAGACGAACACGCAAATGTTGGTGCTGTTCGCCAGCACCTTTGAAGCCAAAAACCACGGGATAACGACGGGATCAGGAAGGTGGGTCTCGCCTTCCTGATCCCGTCAGTTAGGGTTCGTTTACCTCCATCAGCCTGGTCAGCCCGTAAAAAAGCTGCCGAGCCTCCCCTACCGTCCAAACCAATAACCATCGTGGGGGTCTGGCGAACGCCCCCATTTGTCGATCAAATCAAACTGCTCGACGGCATATGGAAGCGGGGACGCAACTTCGTCCCCAGGCAAAATTTCGTCCCCAAGCTATGCCATCGCCATCCCCCGTTTTTCAAAGGACAGCGATGGCATAGCCGTGGCATTGCCGTTCAGAGGGGAACCTCTGAACGAGCCATTTGTTTGACAGATGGCTGTTAGTATACCCCCCATTTTTCCCCTCCCGAACACACCTTCAATGTCCCCCCTGCACATGACTTGGTCGAAATCGATCGCTACTCCGTAAGCACTCACAGTCCTACTCCTTAGCACAGTCGCGACAGTGAAAGGCCTCACTAGGTTTAGACAACCAGCGAGCCGCCATGAACCGCCCAAACCTACTTGCGACTCTGCAGGAGTGGACTGCTCGGGAGGAGAGCCATGCCCGACAACGTGAGACCCAAACGACTGCGCGAATCGCTGTTCCTGCCAGCACCGCGCCTCTTGCACCACCGGTATCAGTAGCTCGTAGAAACGGGCCATCCATGGCCCGCCGCGCCACTACTGCGCCCGTGCACCCAGGAGCTGCGATCTCGCCTTCCGTTACCGATTTTCCTCTCCCCTCGTATTCGGAAGTAGATGATAGTGGCGACGTAGTTGAAAGTGAGACCGTAGAGACAGGACACAGATCGTGGAACGATAATCTCACCTACGATCTACTCAACATAGTCATTGAGACTCAGGTCGAGAATGGCTCCGCCCCGCACGCCATCATCACGAAATGGGCAGAAATATATGAAAAATGGGTGGAGATGCACGGCCCGCACTTGTACGATCTCGAGCAGCTGCAAAACCACATAAGGGTGGTTAAACGCTGGGTGAAGGATATCCGGTACCTGCAGAGCCTAATCAAAACCGGCGTCAGCTACGACCCTGAGAAGGACTTCTTCAACCCACCACCCGAAGTAAGTTCCAAGGTTTAACTCATTCCAAGTACGTGGTGACTAATCTAGTAAGTTCCAAGGTTTAACTCATTCCAAGTACGTGGTGACTAATCTAGCTACTTGGATGCCACCTCCCTTTCCCCTGTGTTGCCATCTATTCGCTATGATCAGAAAGGCACTATCCAACACATCCACATTTATTCCCCTTTGTACCTTCAGCTCGGAATCGTTCAGAAGCTTGAGAGGCTCAACATATGGCCTACGTACTCGAAGTGGGCATCCAAGTGCGCCCCTTGGTTTTCTAAAGCGGCAGAAATAGTGCACCGGAGTGGCCGACGCTCAAGATTCGCCACTGATCGTCATACGGGCCCCCTTGTGTTTGTTAATGACCCCGGTTTAGAGGAGGATGTTGGTGATGCCCCCGAGGGTGACGAGCTTGGGCTCGGAGATGGCGCGCATGGGGGAAGCGGCCTCGGAGGTGGCGCACAGGGGGGAAGCTGCATCGGAGGGGGCGCTCAGGGGGGAAGCGGCCTCGGAGGTGGCGCACAGGGGGGAAGCGGCCTCGGAGGTGGCGCACAGGGGGGAAGCTGCATCGGAGGTGGCGCTCAGGGGGGAAGCGGCATCGGAGATGGCGCACTGGGGGGAAGCGGCCTTGGAGATGGCGCACTGGGGGGAAGCGGCCTCGGAGGTGGCGCACAGGGGGGAAGCTGCATCGGAGGTGGCGCTCAGGGGGGAAGCGGCCTCGGAGGTGGCACACAGGGGGGAAGCGGCCTCGGAGGTGGCGCACAGGGGGGAAGCGGCCTCGGAGGTGGCGGGATAGGTGATGGCGCGCATAGTGTAGGCGTGACTGGAAGCGTGGCTCAGGGACGGGGTGGGGGTGGGAGGGGGTGGTGTGGACATGCAGGGGCCGGCCGTGGGGGAGGTGGACGTCAGGGAGGCGGTCGTGGGGGAGGCGGGCGTCAGGGAGGCGGTCGTGGGGGAGGCGGAAGGGGGGGGGGGGGGGGGGGGGGGGGGCGGAGGGGGGTGGGGCGTGGGGGAGGCGGACGCGGGGAGGGAGGAAGAGGGGAGGGCGGAGGTGGGGAGGGCGCAGGTGGGGAGGGCGGATGTGGGGAGGGCGGCCGTGGGGAGGGCGTAGTTGGGGAGGGCGCAGGTGGGGAGGGCGGACGTGGGGAGGGCGGACGTGGGGAGGGCGGTCGTGGGGAGGGCGGAGGTGGGGAGGGCGGAGGTGGGGAGGGTGGACAGGGGGAGGGCGCTGAAGGGCATGGAGATAGTGGGGGTGTAGGTGCTGGTGGCGACAGTCGCGCCATGCCCGAGGATCTGCGGAGTCCCGCTAGGTCCTCGGCTGGGACCCCCGCCCCTAGAGGCCCCGGGACCGCAGCAAATAGCGAGCGCGACCCCCCCTCGCCATCTAGCTGGAACAAGCGCCGTAAACGCTCTGACGGCAATCAGGTCGCACATCAGCTGGAGGTACTCACCGTGGCGACCGAGCGTGGCATCACCATGCGCCACACGGGTGAGCCATTGTGACACACGTGGGCCTATAGTTGTTTCCTGTTTCTAGCTTGTGCCTGCTATTTCGACATGCTATCAGAGCAGGTCGACCCTCCTGGGTCGATCCTGTGGATGGGCCCACCGTTAGCTTCCGCTGCTGTCCTGCCTATCGCGCGCCTCGGGCGCGCGTCGCTTTCTGCCTGCCGCGCGCTCGGGGCGCGCGGCGGTTTTCTGCCCTGCCCGCCGCGCGCCCCGGGAGCGCGCGGCGGTTTCCTGCCCCGTCGACCCGCGCGTCGCCTCCGTCGCCCGCCGCCGCGCCCCCGGAGACCCGCGCGTCGCCCCCTGTTGCCCGACGCGGCCCGCGCGACCTGCGCCTGGCCCGCGCGCGGCCCGTACGGGCTGCGCCAGGCCCGCGCGCGGCCCGGGCAGCCCGCGCGCGGTTCGTACGGCCCGCGCCAGGCCCGTGCGCGGCCCGTCCAGCTGCTGCCCGAGCCGCGCACCATCCCCCGAGCTGCTGCCCGCGCACCGCCCCCCGCTGCTGCCTGTGTTAGGGTTTGGGGATGGCGAGTGTGGGGGTGGCGAGTATGGGGGTGACGGGTGTGTGCGCCGTCCCCTGTTCCTCCTCCTCCTCCGTCTCCCACTACTGCAGCTGCCGCTGGGGGGGGTGGGTGTGTTGGAGCCGTCGGAGTGATACGAGAGGGGTGACGTGTGAGCAGTGCTAGGGGTACAGCAGGGAGTGTGTGAAAGGGGTGTGGGACAGTTGGGGGAGGTTGACCGGAGGTAGCCGACTTGTCGTCCGCAGCGCCTGAAGTCCAAAGAGCCACGACCCCCTGTGGCCGTGTAGTCCGGGGCTCTGTGCCTGGTAGCCACAGTGTGAGCACTCCTGGTAGTCCAGAGAGCCACGACCCCCTGTGGCCGTATAGTCCGGGGCTCTGCGCCCGGTAGCCACAGTGTGAGCACTCTTGGGAGCACAGTGAGCCAGCTGCGCCTGTCGCCGTGTAGCCCGGGTTTAGCCTGGTAGCGACAGTGCTGCGCACTCCTGTTGCCCGTGTGTCTGCAGCTTCAGCCGTCGCCTCCCATCTTCTCGCCCCCGCAGTTTCTCCTCCTCCTCACTTGCCCTCTGTGATAGCCTCTAGCTTTGCTTGTATTTGTGAACCTACTGCTATGCCTGCTTGCTGTGCTGATTATACCCCACTTTGACTATGGGGGTGTGTCAGAATGTGATGTTTGTCTAGCCTGCAGTGGGGTACTCTATAGCGAGTACAGCCCGAATTAGGGTTTGCTATATGTACTCAACTGCCTGCTAGTGAAAACCCTCTTTTCCTGTTTCTAGCTTGTGCCTGCTATTTCGACAGTTGTTGCTCTGTCCTCGCCCCCCGTGCCCTCAGGAGCAGTGAGGCAGACATCATGCGGCACCATAGCTCTCTTCCACCCATCCCATGTTCACTCATGCATTGCATACCCATCCTCCCGGTCGACAGTTACCCATTCTGGTCCATGCAGCACCATGCCGCACCTTGCAGCGCCATGCAGCGCCATGCCGCACCATGCAGCACCATGCAGCACCCTGCAGCACCATGCAGCGCCGTGCAGCATGGTGCAGCAACGTGCAACACCAAGCAACACAGTGCAGACACATGCAACACCATTGCGCACCGTGTGCCTCCAAGCAACGCCATGCATCACTAAGCCGCACCATGCAGCAACATGCCGTTCCATGCAACACCCTTGCGCACCGTGCAGCCGCAAGCATCACCATGCCTGCGTCGAGCAGTGCCATGCTGCACCATGCATACCATGCATCACCGTGCAGCTGCGTGCAGCACCGTGCCGTACCATGCAACACCTAGTAGCACAACACTTCACCATGCCGCACCAAGCAGCACCGTCCCACACCATGAAGCACCAAGCAGCACCGTTATGCTGAGCGTCACTCTCTGCCCATTTCTGATTTACCTCGATGTGTGCACGGTATTTGCAGATGAGTACCCGCACGTGATGCAGGCTGTTGATGTGGTTGAGGCCATGGAGGACCTCACACCTTTGCACAAGTCGATCGTGGGTGAGCGCTTCACTAAGAACCAGGTGGAGGCGGCTGTGTTTCTGCGCCAGCGTCCAGAGACACGTCGCGCTTACATACAACGGGTGGCTGGTGTTGATAGCAGCCAGGCTTAGGCATCACAATGTAACTTATTGTTAAACTTATAACATGTTTTCTGTCACCTTTATGGAGCCCTACACTAAAAACGTTGACATGTCCATGTAGTTGTAGACATAGTTTGTAAACAATGAACCCTTAGCAACATTCATGCATGCCCAAATTCTGCCCATAGTCGCTCTGCTATGCCGTCCCTTCCCCGCTGGCCCATTCTGGCTGATTCACGAGGGCCCACGCCTGCCTCCGGCACGTAGGCATTCCGTTGGCGCAACTCCCTCTCCTGGATCCCTGCCAGGAGGTCCTCATCGTCCAAGAAGTCTGTGCCTCCTTGTCGCTTGATGTAATTGTGAATAATGCAACATGCATGCACCAAAGTACACTGTAACGCAAAACTGTAGGGCCGCATATGCTTGAGAATGGGGAATCGGGCTTTGAGCTGGCCGAACGCACGCTCTACGATGGATCGAAGGGAGGAGTGAGTCTTATTGAACAACTCCTCCTTGTTACGTGGTTGGAAGCCTGATTCTTGCCATCGACGCTGATGGTACATGATTGTCCTATATGGAGCTAGTAGATGCTGGTCGTTCCTAAACCCGGAGTCAGCGACAAGGAAGGTGCCATTCGGGATGACCAACGATTGGGTAAGGGCGTGCTGGAAAATCATGGAATCATGGGTTGAACCCTCACAGCCGACCATGAGGTATATAAATTCGCCCGTGAATGACACTGCAGCGAGCACGTTCTGCGATACGTTTTTGTGTCGGTCGAGAAAAGACGGTTGCTCACTCTCTCTTATGCACGCTGGGATAAGGGTGCCATCTATGGCGCCTATGGCTCCTGCGAAGTGCCTGTACCTTGGGTTACTATCTAGATGTGTCTCATCGCTGTCTGTAGGGAATTCAATGTACTCGTCGTACAACGAGCAAACGGCCACAGCCACGGTCCGTATGGTATGACTTATCGTGCTACTGTCAAGAATGCAACTAGGAATGATGGATTGGACTAGGCAAGAGGTGAGTACAAGTAGGGGAAACCTAACCCTAAAGTGTTGTACTCACTAAGGAGTGACCCTACTGTAGCCTAGAGATACAATTGTAATCTGACACACCCCCATAGGCAAAGTAGGGGACAGCAAACACAACAAGCGGTCACAAGACCAGTCTGCAGAAGAGAACACAGCTCAGGGTGGATCACAAAGTCACCACGCATTCTGACCACAAGCAAGTGGCCACAAGGCCAGTTCACATGCAGAGGTATATAATAGCAAGGTAGTACACTGATCACAACCTAGCAAGAGAAAACATGCAGGCATAAAGATATATAGCAGTGTACAACAAGAGCAAGTCAAGCAACCAACAGGTGAGGCAGAGTGGGCACAAGCCCAAGAGCAGTGCAGAAACGGTGATGATCACCAGCCCCAAGGGCCTTGGTGAAGACATCAGCAGTGTTGGCTCGAGAGGCCACGTAAGCAAGGCGCAGCTGACCACGCTGCTGCAGCTCACGCGCAAGGAAGTAGCGAAGAGCAATGTGCTTCGTTCTGTGCTCCAGTCTCTGCTCGCGACACAAGGAAAGCATTGCCTTGTTGTCGACGTACAGAACTGGAGGAGAACGAGGCCGCTCCCCCAAGTCGGTCAGCAGGTAGGTCAGCCAGCGTAGCTCCTGTGCAGCCATGGCCCCAGCGTAGATCTCGGCCTCACAGCTGGAACCAAGCACAGAAGAAGAACGAGTGGACCTCCACGAGACAGAACCAGCGCCAAGACTGAAGGTGTAACCCTGTGACGAACGCTGAGTCGTCTGGTCGTCGGCCCAAGAAGCGTCAGAGTGTCCTGTGAGGACCACCGAACCCCGTCCTCCAAGCACGAGCCCCATGCCCGATGTGCTGCACAAGTAACGCAGTACCCTCTTCGCAGCATCAAAGTGCACCTTTCGGTGTCGACCAGGTGCCACGTAGCGAGCCAGGAGGCTGAGAGGGTACGCGAGGTCAGGTCGTGTGCACGTCATCAGGTACATGAGGCAACCCACAAGCTCTGGGTACGGACCACTCGGCTCTACGGACTCGTCCGAAGGTGGAGCTGAGAGCGAGTGGCCGGTAGACAGAGGAGTGGGCTGTGGCGAGGACCAAGTGAAGCGGAAGCGCTGAAGGACCTGGTGCACCATGTGTGACTGAGTGAGGGTGATGGTGCGCCGTGGTCTGTCCCGGGTGATCTGCAAGCCAAGATAGCTCCGCAGCTCACCCAGGTCAGTGCAGGTGTGTCTCTCCTGCAGCTCTGCCTTCACTAGGGCCAGTGCCTCAGTGTCAGCAGTAGCAAAAACCAAGTCGTCGACGTACACGAGGATGTAGAACGGCGGCAGAGTAGTGTCGGTGCGTAGAAACAGCGACGGGTCAGCAGTCGAAGGAGCAAACCCAAGAGCCGCAAGTGTCGTCCTCAGTGTGTCGTGCCACTCACGGGGCGCCTGACGCAGGCCGTACACTGGTCGCCGTAGGCTCCACTGGGTACCCTCAGGAAACGACCCAGTGAAACCCTGTGGACGGCGCAACCAGATGGCCTCGTGAAGGCTACCCTGCAAGAAAGCTGTCGAGAAGTCGAGGGAGTGCAGCTCGTAGTCACGCTGAGCTGCAACGTGTAGCAACACCCGAAGAGTGGTCATCTTCGGGGTGGGGGAGAAGGTCTGAAAGAAGTCGACCCCCTCACGCTGACTGAAGCCTCGAGCAACGTAACGTGCCTTGAAGGCAGGCGGAGAACCCGGCGGCCGCTTCACCCTGAAAATCCACATGCCACTGACGATGTTCGCCCCAGGTGGGGGAACCTCGTCGACGTAGGTGCCTGTGGACTTCCAGGAAGCCATCTCTGCGTCCATGGCTGTCTGCCACTGAGAG